TTATTTTTGGCTGGATCCGCCACTGTTGTAGTGGCACACGAGACAGGCTGCAGCTCTGCAAGAGCGATACACCCGTAATGGGGAAATGCGATCGATTGATTGCTTCCAACGGTGGATCACATTATAGTCATAGGCTCAAATGTGTTGGGATTCAAGACTGAAGATGTGCAGAAAATGTAGATAAAGGGTTAATACCAAAAATAAATAAAGCGACTACGCAAAAATACATATTTACCAACGAACAGCGACGAATGAAAGAAGATTTTTAAGATATGAATTTTCGAAAAAAATATTGTTTTAAGAATAAATGTCAATTTTTTTAATAAATTAGAGTAAACAATTATTGTATTATTATTTTATTATTTTATACATGTATTATATGTTATATTTAGATACTTATTTCTTTTTTACATTTAATTAAAAATTGTATTATTATTAAAAATGATCGCTTGAGTTGGTTAAAAAAAAAAAATATGTATAAGAATAATACTGTTCAGAATACTGTTGGACGAATGCAGTAAACATAAATACCCTGACCTTACCAGTTACCATTTAAATGAATGGAATCACGTGAACACGCAAGATAATCCAGCCGATCTAATATCTCGCGGTTGTCGTCCCGATCAAATAATAAATAATAGGTTATGGTGGGAGAGCCCTCACTGGCTCACTGACAATTCCGATAAGTGGCCCAAATCAAAAATTAACGTTAATAATAGTGCGATTCCGGAAGCCAAAGAGAAAATTGTTCTATTGGCAGATCCTATAAATGAAAACCTAATTAAAAAATATTCATCTTGGAATAAATTATTACGGATATTTGCCTATTGTTTACGCTTTATTAAAATTCATGTCAAAAAACTTAAAATTGTTGGTCCAATTCAACCCGAAGAACTACAAGACGCTGAGATTGCTGTTATCAAAATAACACAATCATAWTACTGGTCAGGTGATATAAATAGTTAATTAAATAACTCCATATTGACAAATAAAAGTAAATTAAAAAATTTGCAGCCTTTTATGGAAAATGGAATTATGAAGGTCGGTGGCCATAAGCGATTCCATTTTCTGATGCTGTATTCATGATTAAAGATTACTGATTATATATATATAAATTGATAAATATTCAACTTTTTGATTTGACCGAAAAGGAAAGGTATAAATTTGGTTGAATAGGGTCTTGCCCATTTTTATTTAGCACATTGTTCTATTATGCAGTGCTATCATATCTACTTATCACTTGTTATTATTATCTATTTTTTCTTAACCTATGCACAACATATTACGTATTTTTAACTTATGAGTTATGACTAGTACATTAACCATGTTTGCAACTGTTTGATATAGGATTTATTATTTTAATTGTTAACAACAATGAATAATTTATTTATTAATAAGTATAAGTTTATTAGTTTGTGTGGTAAACATTGCATGAAATAAAAAAATCATTCATTTTCTGGCTACCTATTAGTCAAWTATATAATTATCAGGAATTTCCTTCAATAATAGAAAATGACYCTTTAAAAATKATGATGGTAATGGGTCTGTTCAYCTGTCGATTGAGGAGCTATAGTATTTGTATTCCATTGTTCCCAAGTTGAATTCCAAGAATTTGTTGTTGTTTGATGATCCACCGTAGTTGTGTTCCATTATTCAGTATTCGTATTCCAAAGATATGTAGTTGATTGAGGAGCTATAGTAGTTGTATTCTATTGTTCCCTAGTTGAATTTGAAGAATTTGTTGTTCTTTGATGATCCACAGTAGTTGTGTTCCATTGTTTAGTAGTCGTATTCCARACATATGTAGTTGATTGAGGAGCTATAGTAGTTGTATTCCATTGTTTAGTAGTTGTATTCCAAACATATGTAGTAGATTGAGAAGCTATAGTAGTTGAATTCCATTGTTCGTTAGTTGAATTCGAAAATTTTGTTGTCGATTGAGGATCCATAGTAGTTGAATTCCATTTTTCACTTGTTGAATTAGAAGGATACGTTGTTGATTTAGTTTGTATAACAGTTGTATTTGCACTAAGTGTTGTAGTTCTATGTCTTGGCCAAAAATAAACGAGAGCTCCTGATGGAACCTTCTAAATTTAATAAAAGAAAAATTAAATAAATAATTAAATCCTCTTTTTACTGTAAAATAATAACTATCTAGTAAATTTAATATGTACTTAATTATAAAACATCTAAAAAATATTAAAAATTACTATTAACAATAGCTTAAAATTATATGATTTATATGTGAAGAACTATTTCAGATCCTGAGCATAGCGATATAAATGTATTGATTTTAAAATGTTTTTTTTTGTGTATGATCACGTTTTATTATTAGGAACATCAACATTTTGTATTATTTTCTATGTTAAATGGAATTTTCAATAAATTGATAGTAATTTAAGTTATTATAGGCAACTTAAATTTTGGTATTTAGTTTTTTTTCTATAATTATCGATAAAAAAACTTTATGCCTGGTCAAAAAGATTGAATAAATTAATTCGAGATCCCACATGATTTGTTTCTAGAGCAGTTTTTAAAATTGTCGAAAATTCATAGGTACAATTTTTTTTTATAATCACATGAAATTTAAGTTTCGACTAAAATCAACATCGTAAAAAGTTGATAATTGTTTTAAAGAATTTATAAAATATTTAAYAACAAATTTGGCTTGAAAATTCAAGAATACTCCTTGTAAGTTGTTTTTCTAGAAACCTAAAAATCTAAAAAAAAATACAAACTCACAATTTTTTATTTATACCTAAGTATTTCAAAGTTTTTTGTTTTATAGTAATCTAAGAAACAATATAGGTACCTATGATGGGAGTTCTGCTAAATTATATAATTTATGCCTACATTATTATTTACTATATAGGTACACTTTATGTAGAACTTTTGCCTATTTATACTAAAATAGWAAAATACCTACCTCCGTTTCTTGGAAAGTATCTATGTATTAACCACTGATATATGTATAATGATACAAATCCTATCTTTAATACACATACTCTTTCACTCCAATAACGCGTTGAAGCTTCTGAGCAATAAAGAAACTAATATATCATCATTAGTGAAGAAATATAACAATATTGCTATTAACAACAATTTTGTAGTTATGTTGAGTAACAGAAATTTGAACAGAGTTACATCAATAAGATTATTGATAATGTTACCTATTAACTCAAAAGTGCTCTTAAAATATAAGCTATTAAAGAGGAGCTCACTGAGCCTCCCACCCCCCTCAAAATGTTGCATTAAATATAAGTCATAAATATACTGGATGATTTTTTTATCATGAACCACTCATTATTTCAAAAAGTATCAATGTTTTTGAAAATATTTTTTTACAAAGTTTCATGTTGTTAAAAAACAACTTTTTATTAAAAAAATTATGTTTTTTAATATTTTTATCCTTATAATTTTTAAGTTTTTTACTTTTTGAATGTCAACCTAGAGTTTTAATTTCATATTCCAAAGCAGAATATAGGCTGAGTTAAAAAGTGGTAGGCCCAAATACCATTCAATTGATTATTTGAATTGTCAGACTTTTCTGGATAAAATGAATAAATTTACATAATGATAAACTCAATTGAATATCGTTGTAAGATTATTACGTCAGTAAATTTTAACCGTTGCTTAGAAACGGATTTAATACACAGTTTGAGGAATATAAGAGGTAAGATTTTGAACGTGCAACAAAGTGCACGGATTCAGCTAATATATAATAATAATAATTATTATTATACTAATTTATAAATAATAAATGCGATATTTCCACTAAAATTTAATTAAAACTTCCATATTATTACTAATTGTAAAATACATTATTCATATACATAATACATATATATACTTTTTTTATGAAAATGACTTAATTTAAACTAGTTATAAAAATTAGCTAATATTAGATAAATAATATATATACCTGTTGATTGATTTGAATATCATTGTATTGRCCTGATTTAAAATCGCTTTTAATTATTTGTTTAGCTTCAACAGCTGGTTCAAAACAACAAAGAAGTAAGAATAACGCCACCTATTAAAATATAAAAAATAAACACATATAAAACATAAATAATGGAAATTTACAAATAATTAAGAATACATTGTACTTACTAMTAATTTCATATACTTCAACGAGAAATTCATATTGGAATACCTATATTGTAATATACTAATATGTATGTAATGCAATATATTATCTCAATGCAAGAACAATGTAAAATGAAATTCTTCCGATCATACACTACTATTTATACCAAAGTTGAGTTGATTAATTAGTTTAAGTATCTGATATACCAAATCATTTAATTAGTCATCTTAACAGTAATGGAATTTTGCGAATTAATTTATTTGGACAGTTTATCAAGTTTGTGACATAATATGCATGTATCACCAGATTACATACTCATAAGCTACATAAAGCTTTCAGCTTTGTACAAACACTACAAACATTACTCATCCAATTAAATATTAATCCAAATCAAATTTATATGGAACACTATGGCTCAGATTGTGGTATAAATATAGATTTATTATACATATAACCTAATAAGCTACCTACAGTTGATTGATTAAATTTCATTGAACTCGCAGCGTTTTTATTTTATATTTAGTTTGTTGATTTCAGTTTATCATTTTGAAAATTAAAGTGGAAACAAATGCAACTTTTAAATTAAAAGAATTTCTTTTCAGATTTAGAGAATATACGTGAAATACGTACAAGTCTCCATTACCTATACGTATACAGACATAGAGTATCTAAAATTAATTGGAAAGTCAATAACTGTAATTCAAAAGATATTGTAGACTGTAGTGCATTTTTTTTCAATGTAATGTATGATTATCTACGGCGTTTGAAATCTAGATAATTGATTTTATTGCCTGTTTAAAGTAATTTTAGGGATATTTTATTAAGAGGACGCTACACCTGCATGCGTTGTCTCCGTGTTACAAGTGCGTAACATTGCAAAAACTGTTTCGCGCGGGAAATAACCGAGAAAGATACAGTTATAACTTATAAGTAAGAAACAAAATTTTCACCACATAAAAAAGAGAATTTTGTCTGTGCAATATCGTTTTTATTTTTTCGATATCACTTATACAAAAAAAAACTTATTGTTTTATAAATACATTAATTTTGTGTTTTTAAGCATGAATAACATTTTTTGTAGTTCTGGTATCGAAAAAATAAAAACGATATTGCACAGACAAAATTCTCCTTTTTATGTGGTGAAAATTTCGTTTCTTAGTAACTGTAGCTTTCTCGGTTCTTTYCCGCGCGAAACAGTTTTTGCAATGTTACGCACTTGTAACTTGTAAGACGGAGACAACACATGCGGGTGTAGCGTCCTCTTGAAATTTATAATGTAAAACTGATAAACCTATCAGATGCCGTAACTAAATAATTTTTTTATTTTTTTCGAGCCACGGCACATTTGCTTAGCAGGGCAGTACAGTAGTAAAAAAAAAAAAAAAAAATAGGGTAAAAACAAATAAATAATTGTAAAATTTGACTTGTGTAGATGAAAATGCTGAATGTCTGAAATATTACTCCCAAAGTATGAGCACTTATCAAATAACTAAAACGCCGTAAATCGTGGATAAATTCGTGGGTACTAGGTAATAACGCCGTAAATACACTATACCTACTTAGCATTAACGCCGTCAGTATTGTTGAAGATAGGTACGGCATTTGATCTTAGTACATAGAACAAATTATAATTGACGAAAACATTTTTGGGAAAATATTCCAAAATGCTAATAAATGCTGTAAAAATTATGTATAAATTAATTTTAAATTTATAAATTGACTTGTTTTGTTTTGTGAAATAAATATAATAATAATT